GTGAGCAGCCTTGTCTTGTTCCAGTTTTCACGGGAAATGTTTCCAGTTTCTGTCCATTTAGCAATATATTAGCTGTGGGTTTATCGTAGGTAGATGGCCCTTACTATTTTGAGGTATGTTCCTTCTATACCTAGGAGTTAGAGGGTTTTTATCAAGAAGGAATTCTGGATTTTATCAAAAGTTTTTTCTGCATCTAATGAGATAATCATGTGGTTTTTGTTTTTATATCTGTTGATGTATTTGATGACATTTATGGTCTTGCAAATGTTGAACCAGCCCTGCATCCTGGGGATGAAGCCTACTTGGTCATGGTTGATGATTTTTGAGATGTTTTTGGATCACACTTGTTCTTTACTTGCTTTAGAGTTCTGTAGGAATTATGTTTAAGATTAGCTGGTAAGTCATAGAAAAAAACTTAGAAATTTTTTTAAACTAAAAAACTTTCACTTAGCTTGGATTTCCTTTTTGTTTACCAGAGAATAATTTACATGTCTGTAAATTCTGTTAGTCAAATCAAAGAACAAAAATTATTATGTTTGATGGTGTTTAAAAGAACATTGTGTGAGGATAGAGTGTTAAAATTTAGAGTCAAAGGAGACTTAGAGGTAATTCCTGCCTGTTTGTCATGTGGAGACCTAGAGAAGACTCGTTGTAATTTTTTTTTTTTTGAGTGTCTAACTCTGTCACTCAGACTAGAGTGTAGTTTCATAATCACGATGATCAAGGCTCACGACAGCCTCAACCTCCTGGGCTCAGGCGATCCTTCCACCTAAGGAACCCAAGTAGCTGGGACTACAGGCATGTGCCACCATGTCTGGCTAATTTTTTCAATTTTTTTTAGAGACGAAGTTTTACTATGTTTCCCAGGCTGGTCTTGAACATACGGGCTCGGGCTATCTACCTCCCCCACCCAATCCTGGGCCTCCCAAGTGCTGGGATTACAGGCGTGAGTGACTATGCTTGGATTATTTGTAATTTTAAAGAAAGAATTAAGGTATTTTTATGTGGTTGTATCTTTTTTTTTTTAATTTTTATTTTAAAATTGTGGGGTATAATTCAGGGTTAGGTATACAAATATTCGTTGTTGCAGGTACCCTTGTTGATGAGGTGTGCCCCCCGCCCCAGTCAGATATCGACTACTGTCAATCCCACCTCCCTACTCCCCCTCACCCCCTCCTCCTGCAGTTTCCCGCTACTGTCAGTCCTTTTCCTATGGTATTACGGTAGCTGTTCAAATTCCACTTATGAATGAGAACGTGTGATACTCAGATCTTTGTTTCTGTGAAAGATCACTCAGTATTATAAACTCTAATTCTATCCCCTTTGCTGTGAAGTTCATGATTTTGTTTTTCTTCATGGCTGTGTAATATTCCATTGTGTAATGTACCATGCTATATTCCATTGTGTAATGTACCACATTTTAAAAATCCAGTCCTCTTTTGATGGGCAGTATGGTTGGTTCCATGTTCTTGCTATTGTGAACTATGCTGTGATAAACATACGTGTGCAGGTATCTTTTTTTTAGAGTGATTTGAGTTCTTCTGGGTATATTCCAGTAGGGAGATTGCAGGGTCATATGGAAGGTCGATTTTTAGAACTTTTAGGAATCGCCACACTGTTTTCCACAGAGACTGTTCTAGTTTATACTCCCACCAACTGTGTAGAAGTCTTCCCTTTAGCCACATCCTCTCCAGCATCTGTTATTTTTTGAGTTATTGATGATGGCCATTCTAACTGGAGTTAGGTGGTATCTCAGTGTAGTTTGAATTTGTATTTCCTTGATGACTAGTGAGTCTGAACATTTTTTCATGTATCTTTGACTGCTTGTAAGTCTTCTTTTGAGAAGTGTCTATTCATATCTTTTGCCCACTTTGTAATGGGGCTGCTTGTTTTTTTCTTTTCAGCACGTTTGAGTTCCTTGTAGATTCTTGATGTTAGACCTTTGTCAGACATGGAGTTTGCAAATATTTTTTTCCAGTCTGTAGGCTGTCTCTTCACTCTCTTGATGGTTTCTTTGGCTTTGCAGAAGCTTATCAGTTTAATGAGGTCCCAGTTGTCTGTCTTACCTGTTATGGCATGGTCACTTCGGGTTTTGATCAGGAATTGGTTGCCAGTTCCAACTTCCATAAGAGTGTCTCCTGCATTTTCTAAGGTTCTTATAGTTTAAGGTTTTACATTTAGGTCTCTGATCCATTTAGAGTTAATCTTTGTGTATGGTGATAGATAGGGGTCCAGTTTCAATATTCTGCATGTGATCAGCCAGTTTTCCCAGCACCATTTACTGAATAGGTTCTCCTCTCCCCAGTAATGAGTGGTAGAGGCTTTATTGAAGGTGAGTTGGTTGAGAAATTGAGGTTTTGCTTCTGGAATCTCAACTCTATTCTATTGGCCTATATATTGGTTCTTGTACCAATACCAAACTGTTTTGATTATGGCTGTATCTTAATAGAATATATTTTTAAATACTATCATCAAAGAGCTGGTATTGTGAGTGGATGCTCTGGATGTAACTGATGGGGTAGACTGTAACTTTCAGGTGTCATTAAATAAGTAGTGGTATTTGTGTTCTTGTGACTTTCTTGGCTTGATTGCTAGGCAACTCTGAGAGGTGCTTGGCTATTTCACCTCATGCCTAATAATAGTATATATCATAAAAATGTAAGAAGACCAATTTAGGACAAGAGATAGTTACTATGTAAGCAGCTGAGGAAGAAACTGTGAATGTACAGGGCCTGAAGTTGTGCAAAATATTGAACCTGTGTATTTCTTTTTCTACCCAGGCACGGAGTATAAGGAGCCTCATCCTCACATCTAAACCTTCAGTTGCTCAGGATGTGAAAAAATATAAATGAAGTTAATATTTGTAATCAAAACCTTCCTGTCCCCAATATATGAACACTACAGAAATAATCATTTATTTATTTATTTTTTGAGTTGGAGTCTCACTCTGTTACCCAGACTGGAGTGCAGTGGCCGCTCCTGGCCACTGCAGCCTTGACCTGCTGGGCTCCGGCGATCCTTCCACCTCAGCCTTCCAAGTAGCCGGAAATACAGGCATGCGCTACCATGCCCGGCTGATTTTTTTGATTTATTGTAGAGATGTGGTCTCGCTGCCCAGGCGGGTCTCAAACCTGTGGGCTCAGGCAATCCACTCACCTCAGCCTCCCAAAGGTGCGGGATTATAGGCTGAGCCACCGAACCCGGCTCATTTATTTATTTTTAAACTTTCTTAACATCGTTTAAAATTGTTTTTATTTTTAATTGGCAAAGTAATTATTATACAATAATCTTTGTATAATAATTTTATGGTACATAATGGGATATTATGATACATATCTACATTGTGGAAATATTAAAGCAGACTAGTTAACGTATCCATTGCTTCACATAAACATTTATAATCTACCCTTTTAACAACTTAAAAATATGTACTACATTATTATCAACTTATTCCTTCTGACTGAACTTTGTACCCCTTGAGTTATATCTTACCTTTCCCTGTCCACCCCCATTTCCTCTGGTAACTACTATTCTCCCTAGTTCTATGAGTCTGACTTTTTTAGATTCCACATATAAGTGTGATCCTGAAGTATATGTCTTTCTGTGCCTGGCTTATTTCACTTAGCATAATTCATTCATGTCTCAAGTGACAGAATTTTCTGTTTTTTAAAGGCTGACTAGTATTCCATTATGTATATATACCACATTTTTTTCTATCTATTCATCCACTGATGGGCAATAATATTGTTTCCATATCTTGGCAATTATAAATAGTGCTGCAATGAACAATAATCACATTTATTTTTGCTAGACATCAAGATAAGCTTTTCTAAGTGTTTTAGTCTTTGGGAAATCTTTCTGTGTCTCACTTTCCCATAAGAAGTATTTGTAAACACTGTGATCTTTTCTGGTTAGTCTCATAGGCTTTTCTTTTATCAATGTATTGTCATAGACAAACAAATTCCTGGGAGGCTAGATGATAAAATTCTCTTTTTATCCACGTGGTGTTTTCTGTGAAATAGACAAACTGCACACATCTATTACATATGAAACTTGTTTTAGGTTCTGTAGTCTATTATTATACAAAGTTAATCCCTAATAAAATGGTAAAAAAGAATGTTTTTATATGGATTGATGCAGGAGTCTGCAAACTATAGCTTGTGCTAAACATGGCCTATTGCTTGTTTTTTGTAAATAAAGTTTTATACCTGTTTGTTTATGTATTATTTATGGCTGCTTTTACTTTACTGTAACAGAGTTGAACAGTTTCTATAGAGACAGTGTGGCTTGCAAAACCTGAAATATTTAATATCTGACCCATTACAGAAAAAAAAATTTCTAAACTCTGGACTAAGGGAGTATTTAGAGATTCAAGTATTGTTCTTAATAAAAACTATGACTTTTGAATGGTTTAGGTTATATCAAAGTTGTTTTCTCTTAAATTGCATGAAAAAATTTCTGCTGTTATAATTGATGATAATTTATAACTACATTGGATGAGAGAATGTGCCTAGAGTCTACTGAGTGATTGGTGTCCAATTTTTAAAAAAGTAAAGATTATTAAAATTCATTGTACATTAATTCCTTAATGCTGAGGAGACAGCTAATGAGGCATATATAAAAAATTACTGTGTGGCATGCTTACGATTTAATTACACAGGGAAGGTTGGTTACATTATTTTAGCTGGCATTACCTATTTTGATAGTCTTTATGATAATTGTGAATTTTAATTAATTTTTATATTAAAATATCAACCTATTTGAGATTTCACTTGCTACAGATCAGTAAGTCTATCAGTCGTCATTTGCAAAGAAACCTCATATTTCTTGTGTTTAATAGCTCTAGTTCAATGTTTTAAAAAAATTAGCATTTAATCATAGTATTTCTCAGTCATAGAAATTTAGCAATAAACCATAGGGGCTGCAGTGCTCCATATCAAGGCAACAGTTTAAATATAATTGTCTAATGTGTGGTTATCTTTTCATCTTTTTTTTAACAGACTTGTGGAAGAAAGCAGACTGATCCCACTCATTTTTGAAGTAATTCTGGTAAGAAAAGAAATGTGGAGTTGAAACTCAAGTGAAATTTTGAAGTTTTAAAAATTTTGACCAAGTTGTAAGGTTGAATTGTTAGCCCTAATTCTGCCCTGAAGTAAATTTTATGTTCTTTATCATGTCACTGAAATTCAGCTTTCTTATCTGTAAAGGGATGTCAGGCTCTGAAGTTATATAGGGACAATGTTTAATGATCTGCCCTCTTTTCACAAATTCTTTATGTTTTAGTTCTATTATATTAAACAATATATGTTTTCTAACATAGATTATTTGAGGTTTGCAGAAATGGTGGGGCGGGGAGAGAGAATGATTATTGCTATACTTTACTGTGAATTTTCTGGTGTTCTGTATGAAGCCCTCTGACTCTGTAGCTTTTGGGTACCAGCTCAGCAGTTTTATGCCTATAGTCAGAAAGTTGGCCTCTTCAGAACTTAGAATAGCTTAGCTTCCATCATTTTTCTAGTAACAGAATACTTTCAACTTAATTGAAAACCATCTGTTAAAGAAAATCTTCCATCTTTGTTTCTTATGTGTAAAGATAAATCCCTAATTATATTAAATGCAGATCTGTGAATTAGGCTGAAAATTGAGTTGATGCTCGTAGCAAGCAAGTGCCCATGACCAAAGAAAGGTTTTCTTGTACTTGAGTGTGTTATCCCCTTTTACTAAGAACTTTACCTTCATAGCTCACTGACAGCAGAAGGGACAAAGGAGACATTTTCCCAGCCAGATCAGCCCGACCTACCTTGGTCATCAGTGGAGGAGCATTAGCTGTGATAGCCCTACAAGTAGAAAATAAAATTTTCTTAATCATCTTAAAATATTATTCTACCAATTGTTTGTGTGCTGTTGTGCTCATATGGTGAAAACTTTATTTTTCCTAGCTGCAGATCACCCTTTCCCTTTCAGAAGAGCTAACTGGGTTTGCTAAGCTATTTGCATTGGACAGGGAGTAGGGGTGGGAGTGGCTAGTATTCCCGAATGTCGAGATGACAGACAACTGCCTTGCTGAGTAGATAATGTGAGGTCAGAACCTGGGTTGAATTGCTTAGAATAGTTAAAGGGCGTTTTAGAGATGGTATCAGGAGAGGGGATAGAGAAAATGGAGATGAAGAAATGTGGAGATCAAGAACTGTCTGATGGGAATCTTAAAGTTTTGCCTAGTGGTATGTGTGTCTCCCCACCTTCAGTAGGATGCATATTACTTGTTACAGAGTTGTTTTGTTTTGGAGGACAGTGGTGCAGCAGATTGCTAAGTTTGGCCACATGGTTGGGCATGGGGCAAGAGTAAAGCTGTCTAAACTCAGCTACAGTTGGCATGCATTTGAAAAGAGGCTGATGTTGTAGGCATTCTAGAGCTAGAATGGGCCTTCCTGGGTCAATGTGATTCATCTTCTTACTGTGTTTGGAGGGCTTCTAACCTGGTAAGGTCAATATAGCTCCTTTTGTGACCAACAGAAAGTTCCCATCCTATCCTTTGGTAATCATCCGAAGATCTAAAATCTCAACATAAAAAAATTCCTTCTTGTGGGTTACCAAAACCCCTCCATACTTGATTAAACATCTAGCAAGTGTTTCATATTTTACAAACAATGATAAATGTTTAACTAGTTGATTAATGCTACACTTTAAACCCTTGTCATTGTGGTGTGGCCATCATAGGAAGTGGGTAGAAGGTGATGTCTACTCTCTAGGTTGTGATTTTAGCTAGTCCTGAGGTCTACAGCCTCACAGGCCTATATGGGATGATGCTGTTACTCTAATCGTAACAGCTCTATGCTCAGGTTTCTTGTAGGATATTATTATTATCATCATCATCATCATTATTTGAGTTGGAGTGTCACTCCGTCCCCCAGGCTGGAGTGCAGTGGCACGCTCACAGCCACCCCAGTGTTGACCTCCTGGACTCAGGCGATCCTTCCATCTCAGCCTTCCAAGTAGCCAGAACTACAGGCACATGCTACCACACCCGGCTAATTTTTTAATTTTATTGTAGAGATGAGGTCCCGCCAAGTTGCCCCGGCCAGTCTTGAACCCCTGGGCTCAGGCAATCATCTCGTCTCAGCCTCCCAAAGTGCTGGGATTACAGACTTGAGCCACCGCGCCAGGCCAGGATATTATTTTAAAAAGAGGTTCTGCTGCTAAAAAGTACAAAAGAAAAGAGTTGGAAACTACTGCTTTGTGGGGCAGTACTTTGATGTTCTTGAAGAACATTATTAAATTCCTTTTCTACTTTTGTCTTTCTTGAATTGAATAATCTCAACTTTTTTCTCTGTATAAATACATTTTAATCAATGAAATAGTTCACAGCAGTATTCTGTGAACCATTACCTTGTCCTTTAAAATTTTTTGTCACTGAGCTAGACATAATACAGTATTTCATTGATTCTATGATGCACATTTTTTCTTCCAGATTTTAACATTTCTGAAACTGAGATATACTTTCCAAATCAATGGTGTTTTACAGTTGCTTTAAGCCAGGTGACCTGGTTGTCATTGCCTTAACCAATTTATTTCACTTTTATTTTCCTTTTTATAAATGCCTAAAAATGATATGTTATAAAAATCTCTGTCTGAATAAGTTTTAAAGAGCTCTTTCAATAAAAAGAAAATACAAATTCTAGGTAATAAGCAACCATGTCGTGGTTTAATTGGCAGCATTTTTTTTTCTTAGTGCTTGGTAAAATAGTGGTGCTTCTTAAAACTGATGGATTTCTAGATTCATAAAAACACAGTATATACTTCAATTTGGTTGGTTTCTGAGTTCAAGGGACTAGGTATTGTGTGGCATATAGATGGCTGATTCTAGCAGTGACCTTATTAGAGCAAGGAATAATGAAAACATTTTGTGGGTCCTATGTGCTTGGCTAGTACTTGTGCCTTCTGGCCTTGCATCAAAACAAAAACAAAAACAACGCACTATTTGACTCATTTCTGTGGTGGTCTATGTGACCACTTAATGACTTTTCCCCTTTATTTTAGCCCATAACTGTTTTCCTGCTTCTGTCTTATGTACTTAAAACCTGCTTACAGGCAATCCTCTTGGGTCTCCTCCCACTCTGGGAGCTTTTCTGTTCTCTCAAATCCTACTTTCTCGCCTTCCTGGAAAAAAAAAAAAAGGAAAAAGAAGAAACCTGCTTACAGGCTTTGTAACTTCCTTCTTCCTTTCTAGAGTTCCTTCTATGATGTGCCCTTACCAACAGTGCATCCTCTCCCAGATGTCTTTCATTAAGACAGTGAGCCTATCTCGTCTGATGGGCAGGAATTGTTTTTCCTGGCAGCTTCTGTTTTTCTTGTGGGCATGGAAACAAGTAAAGGTGAAGGGAGCACAGTTCTGACTTTAATGCCCTATCTGTACAAAATAGCCATTTAGAAATCTTAGGCAGAGCAGGCATTTCTGGAGTTATGGTAGCCCAAGAGCTCCAAGTATGGATTCAAACTGTTGAAGTAAATAACCAATTGAAATTAATTAAAATGAAAGCTATCTCCAGTTGTCATTGCCTACTCATGGGGCACAATGCTACTTCCTGTCTGGATGGCTAATGTGCAGGCCCTCTGAATTCATGTTGCAGGAAGAGAGAGGTATATAAACATACAACTGAGTAGGAGCATAGTAGGAACTTTTATGAAGGAAGATATAGAAAGCTGTGGACCCTGAAGGAGGAAGTGACCAACTCTGCTGAGTGTAGGGAGGGGAGTCTTACAGAAGAAGTGACCTTTGAAGAGGGCCTTGAGGAAAAAGTAGAAGATATTTTGAGGGGAGGGAGAGGCAACTTGGGATTGTTAAGGCTAGGTGGGCATACTCAATGCTGAGTCTAGTTGTCCCTCAGTATCCAAGAGGAATTGGTTCTAGGAACCACCCCCATGCTAAAATCCACAGATATTCAAGTCCCTTGCATATCTTCTCATAAACTTTAAATCATCTCTAGATTACCTGTAATAGCTAATACATTGTAAATACTAGGTAGTTATGTTGTGTTTTTATTTGTATTTTTTTGTACCATTATTATTTTTTTCTTTGCCAAGTATTTTCAATCTATGAATGTGGAATCTTGGGCAGGCAGGGCTTACTGTCCTTAGATGTGCCTGAATGCATAACAGGATCATGGAGAAATGGTAGGAAATGAAGCTAAAGAGTAGTTTAGGATGAAATCCTGCAGGGCTTTATGCTGTGGTCATTTCATATTTGTTTGGCTTCACAAATAATTTATGCTCTTTAAAATCAGTATCCCTTATGAGAAATAAAAATAAAATCCTAAGCCCCCCAGATGACTGGAAGAAACCCCTCTTGGCAACAGGGACCCCAGAGAAACTTTAAAAACTTAGTTCCCAGTGGTGACTGGATAGGAGGTTGGATACAAATACCTCCTACCTCATTAACTACCATTAGTCTTTCTTCCCTAAGTGTTAAACAGGAACCAGCCCTTTTGAAGGATTTGCTCCGTCACTGATATCAACCAACTGCCTGATCCGATGCTGCCCCGCCCTTCTGTGGTTTCAACACAACAACCTACTGGCATTCCTTCCTGATAAGACACCAGAGACCGCAGAATGGTTCTGACCAGTCTGTAGCCTTCTTCTTTACCTTCTTCAACTCTTGATGTACAGAGTCAGATTGTAATACATTTAAATGTTACATCTCCACCACAAAGTGATCATGGGATGCATGTTGCATGCATGTTAGCCCACTATGCATGTGTGTACTACTCCTTCATGAATATTCATGGTTTCTCCTATAACTTGTTGAATATGTGTACTTAGACAGTTCCTTCAGCATACGTTCCTCTTCTCTTTACCCTTTCCTCCAAGTGCCTGTTTTTTGCTTCTAGATGGAATTGTTATACCTTCCAGCCTGTCAGAATAACTGCCTGCAGCCTGCAACCTTTATGAGAAATAAAGCTCTTCTTTCCAAACTTATGAACACCGTCATTTTTCACTGACATCTGTTTGGGGAAAAAAAGTCCTTTATAGCCCCTATACTGCAGGATGTAAGT